TACTCAAGATTGTGGAATATAGGACTTAATTTATCATTTGTTATCTTTTCCAGATTTGTATGAGATTACATGAGGAGTTAATCTAAATGCTTTGTCAGCAGTTTACATATGAAGTTTTATTAAAGCATTAAAGTCAAGACTTTACTCAAGTTTAAATATATATTTTAAAATGTATTTAAAGTAATTTATATTTATTTTTATATTACATTAGCACCTAAATGTACTATTTACGTAGGTAAGGTAAAAATACTGATTTATGAAAGCTCTTTCTACTCTTCCTAATTTTCCTACTGGTGTTAGCTATCAAGAAAATGGACTATTATCTTTCAGCTTTGTAACTTCATTGTTAAAATATGAAGTTGTTTGTAATTTCACAAGTTATTTTTCCTCCATTTGGGAATGAGTTAAAAATGAGGCATGGGGAAAGTAAGTATATTTATTATTTTATGTAGTCATTTTTGATGGACTGTTTATTTGGTAAGACATTTCACTTCCTTGAAGCAGTAAAACATTTAGCAGTTTACCTTGTTAGTATTTGTTAAAATGAGTAGCTTAGTTTCTGGTCGTGAATCATATTAGTTGAAAGAACATGAAAGCTATTTAATATTTCATTTAGATTGTTAATTGTTTTTGTTATTGAGAGTGAATTATTGGACAAGATTTTTTTTAAGATTTTATTTATTTATTTTAGAGCATGCACATGCATGAGCAGGGGGAGAGGAGCAGAGGGAGAGAATGCCAAGCAGACTCCCCGCTGAGCAGGGAGGATCCTGACATGGGGCCTGATCTCATAACCCCATGACATGTGCAGAAATCAAGAGTTGGATGCACCCAGGTGCCCCTGGACAGTTTTTTTGTTTTGTTTTGTTTTGTTTTGTTTTGTTTTAATGCCACTTGTTTTCCTGAATCTGAATTTTTGTTTCCTTCTTTCCTTGTTAATAAAATCTTATTATACAAAAGGATTTGAACACAGGTGGGTCTGTTTGGTTTAAACTTGCTAGAAGTCATGGATGATGCTTTCAAAGGAGAAAATATAAGCCAAGAGAAAAAGAGTGAGGAACAGGGACTTATTAGCATATGATAGCTCACATACTGGTGTGCAAATATGCTCCGTCTAAGGATATGCCATTTTCATCTACATAGAGTCACTTACATGAAAACATACAAATGTGGAGATTTCAGGCCTTGCAGTCACATCCCGAAGCAGCTGGGGAGTGCCCTCTTCTGCATAAATCTGTACCAGCACATGGAGCCATCCCATTTATCGACTCAGTTCTGAGCACATACTTACCCACTTGGCAGATACATACTGGCTGTGTGTATCTTTAGGCATCCCCTGAGGTTACTGTTGTCTCTTGGTGATCCATTCTCACTTCAACTCTGAACCTGAAAAAGACCCTAACCGTCCTAACTCTGAATCTGACACAGATACTTCGGGGGGGGGGGGGTGGAGGGGGTGGAAGGGCCCGGAGAAGGAATGTGTACATTGTAAGTAGCACGTATGTCCCTCTTTCTGATGGTTTATATGAAAAGGCCAGAATGTAGATGCATGTATGTGTGCAGCCATGACTGCTACTCTCTTGGACTCAGTAAAGTTCCTCTGGAAAGCTCTTCAGGTTGTGCAATATTCCTATTTGAAAAAGGGGCACCTTTTTTCTAATTTATAGAAAGACACTGCAAAAGCTAGTAAAGGCCCTGTAGATAGTAAGATTATTTTCAGTGTCCCCTGGCATCCTTTGCTGTCCATTGAGTCATTTTTTGGAAAGCTGACACTTCTTAGGAAAAACAAAATAGTTTTCAATGTTTTGAAATTCAGATTAAACCTTTTTTTTAAAGCCAAAATCCCAGTGTGATTTTTTTCACTTATTCTTTAATATTATGTATGTGCTACAGACTCAACTGTGTCACTTCACCTTAGATAAGATTTAAATTTAGCTATTATTATTTATGTCTGCTAAATTTGCAGTTTCGTTTTTGTGTTGTAGCCCCAATTTATAAGAGTGGCTCATTTTGAGCCATATAAAGTAAGAAGAATAATAAAGGATTACTAAAACTTAAAATAACATTATGAATATAAGTAGTAAATAGTTCTCCAGTACAAATATGATGTGTAAGTTTGCATATTCTATTACAAATGAATCTGCAATATGTAATTTTGCAGAAGCTATCAAGAAACAAAAATGTGAAAAAGTCAAGTTTGACAATGCATACCTGAATCGGATTTTGAGAGACTAGTAATTTCTTCGCCCTGTGTTTTGTTTTTCATGAAATTTTATGAAACTGAAAACCTTCAGAGCATTTGTATTTTATTCAAAGCATTTATTTGTACTTTGAACAAATTTCAGTAGAATTTTCAATAGAATCTAAAGTGTGGCTGTCTCTGCATTTAGCTTTTGATTTCATCTAATCAGGGTGAAGGGACTGCTCTGTCAATTTTTCTCAGTGACTATCTGCAAAAACTTCTCAGTTCTTAATTCTTAACAGTGTTTACATAAAGCTAAAGAAGAAACTCCAAGATAGTGTCTCCAAACTTCTTTATCTTCTTTTTACAATACTTGAGCAATCCAGTGCACTAGTGATGCTTCATTTTACTGTTGTATCTGTCTTCTAAGCAAGGGCTCATTTTTCCATTTTAAAAAACAATTTAGTCCTTTACAACATAGGTAGGAATAATGACGAAATAATTACTAGGGTAATGAAATAGCAAAATATTTCAAGATACAGGAATACAGATGATTAAGATCCCATAATTCATCTTAGATTTATAGAAGGGTGCAAGAAAGCCATATGATAACTGGGGGGAAAAAAAGGCTGTGTGTTTGATTCTATTAAAAAAAAGTAAAATTGGGCAGCCCAGGTGGGTCAGCGGTTAAGCCCCGTCTTCAACCCAAGGTGTGATCCTGGAGACTTGGGATTGAGTCCCACATCGGGCTTCCTGCATGGAGCCTGCTTCTCCCTCTGCCTGTGTCTCTGCCTTTCTCTCTCTCTCTCTCTCTCTCTCTCTCTCTCTCTCTCTCTGGTCTTTCATGAATAAATAAATAAAATATTTTAAAAAGATAAATAAAATTGACCTTTGATATTTTGTAAGACTGCTAAGAGAAAAAAATGTCATGAAACAATATTCCTCACAGAGAGCTACTGAAAAAAAACTTCAGAATATAAATTTGGGTCCAGTAGACTGCTGATATATTAAGAATGAGAATGTAATATATTTTACTTTTTGAAGATGCTTATCAAGGTTTTGATTTTATTTTTAAGGTTGTTTTTTTTTTAATATTCTCTTAGTTGTTTCCCTTTCCTCATAGAATCAGATTTCTTTTCCTCCCTCCTTCCTTAACTCTCTCCTTGCCCTTCTTCCTCCCTTTGCCTCCCATTCCTTTTCCCTGTCCCTTCACTCCTGCTCTCTTCTCCACTCTTCCCCTCTCTTTCCATTGTCCATCAGTCCTTTTTTCCTTCCTACCTTTCTTCCCTCCTTCTAATTTTGCTCTATATCTGGTAATTGTTTATCATCTTTATATTTAAAACTAGGTATGGTTTATTTTAGGTTATAAACATTTGTTTGCTTTTTATGTAAGTACTTTGTTTTTCCATACTGTTTTGATTACTACAGACAGCTTTGTAATACATCTTGAAGTCTGAGACTATGATACCTCCAGCTTTGTTTTTTTTTTTTCATGATTGCTTTTCTGTTTTGATTTTCTCCTTGAATGGGAAATTTGATAGAGATAGGGCATGTTAACTCACATTGTCACTGTTGGGTGGGTGGAAAGAGCTGCCCAACTGGCTCTGGGCTCCCTAATGTGTTAATGAGGGATTCATTCTGGATGGTAACACCCACACTGGAAGCCTTAGCACTTCCGTTATTCAGTGAAATATTCTTGGAAAACAACCTGTATTCATGGAAGTGGTAGGTTTAAATACTCTGCCTCCCAACCTGAAATCATTTTCCTGGGCAATACAGATCATGATGGGTGGTTATTGCAACAGTTGTTCTGTGTGTAAACTTTTAATCAACCTTGATTTTGGCTCTACTTTTCACTGCCACCCTTAATCTCAGTGACTCCCATCTTCAGTGTAACCACTTTATACTGTCTTCTGGGTTGTCTCCTCTGTTAGTTTTATTCCTGACTCTTTATTTTCCCTTCTTGAAACATGTTGCTATCTTTTCTCCTTCTCCTTCATTCTCCTCTCCTCTCGTCCTTCACTGTTGTGGGTTTAGGCTTTTCTGTCTCGATACTATAATTACTAGGGTACTAGGGAGTACTGGAAGTGAACACATTTTCTCCGTGTGAAACTTTCTGGAACATGCATATCAAAAGACAGTATCTATTACAGTTTTTACTACCACTAGTATTTGAAATTTTCATTTTCATAGCAGCCCAACTTTTAAATTTTTTTGCCAGCTAAAGTGTGTTTCTTTTTCTAATGTGTAATCTTCTATAAGAAATTAGCAAATTCTCATTTTTTTTCTTTTGAGTTTGTTGTTAATATAATTTTCTATGAATTGTTGATTACTTTTAATTACACAGTTACTGTGAAGTCCTGGGTCTTATAAGCAGTTTTCATAGGATCTTTATGCAGTACATTGAGTCTTTAGCACATTTGTTTCAAATATCTCCTAGTCTTTTCTTTTTACCCTAATTTTAATTATGTTTATTTTATCAGTTATTTTTATTTGAACATGTTTATCTGCTTCATGATTTCTAAACTTTGAAATAATAAAAAAAAGTTACTACCTCCCCAGACAATTTATATTAATTAGGACTTTTATTTTTGTTTTACTAAACTTTCTAAAATTAATTTCTGTGGAACACTCTTGCAGAATAATTTGGCAGGGCATTTTAAGAGCCAAGAAACTGTCTCTGTGTTTTGATCTTTTTCTCAGAAAGCTTAATTAAAAGGAGGGATAAGAATTTGTTTGGTGTCTTGAATTCAACTATATTCTTATTTTGTCAAATGGTTTGAAATACTAAACGGTAAAATATTTTTGTGTTTTCCAGATTATTGCTCGGTTGTAACAATTGTGGACCAGACAAATGTAAAGCTAACCTGCATGCTCTTTAGTGGAAATTATGAAGCCCTTCCAATAATTTATAAAAATGGAGATATTGTTCGCTTTCACAGGCTGAAGGTATAGTTTATACTATCTAGAACTTATCTGTTTGAAGAGAACTCTATTTTTCACTAATACTAGTTAGCACTAATTATGTGGTTACTGTGGTAGAACATGACATCAAGCATTTCAAGAGATAAGAAGAAATGTAAATAATACCAGACTTCAAATAATTAATATTAGGAAGGCTTTTCATTTGGACGAATTCCCTGCCCTCCTTCTACCGAAAATGTATTAGATGCCAAGATTAAGACTAGTTGCATTGTCTTCTCACTTCTGAGTATAGATTGATACTTTTAGAGGTTTTCCATGTAGAGCTGGGTTAAAAAAGCAAACATATACATATACACACACACACATATATACATGTATATACATATATATACATGTATATAAACATATACATATACACACACATATATACATGTATATACACATATATATACATGTATATAAACAACAATTGAGAAGTTCTATTTTCCCTGTTGTATTAATTCAAGTACAGTGAAAGCAGTGAGAAGTATAAAATCAGTAAGTTCATCTTCTTTTATGAAAAATGTATTAAAGCATGAACAGATATTTTGGAACTTTTAAAATTATGCTAGCTGTCAAACAATTATATGTAAGGAAACCTTTAATATGAAGGTAGAGCTATTAAATAGTATGTAATTTAAAAAGAAATTAATATTTTCAGGCCTTTAGGTTTTAAGCATTTTAATCCCTTCATCTTTTCCTCTTGTTACATGGGTTTCCATGAAGCCCTTTCATTATCTTAGTTGTCCTTTTTTTTTTTTTTCGTGATGCTTCAGTTTATCTGTGTCTCTCATGGTCAGTGTGATGCTTGTAAGCGAGCAAAATATTCTGGAAGTGTCCTATTCTTGGCTTTGGTGGGAATTACCTTTCTTAATCTCTTATGCCTTTCCCCGAGAATAGGAGAACAGTAGAGAATATTTGTGAAAAGTTAAAAAAGAAATAGAAGTATTGTCATCGTAGCACTATATTTCAGGTTTATCCCAACTTCAAATAATAACTTATTTCCTACACACACTTTTTTCAGACAGTACACTCTTCCCTACTAATGTTTTTAGTTGTTCTTGCTATTAATTGAAGTAGAATATACATCTCAGTTCTATTTGTTCTAAAGAGAATAGACTCTAGGTTTTGTTTTCTAATGTCTGGCTTACGCTTGTGTGATTCAACCATATTACTGCATATAGTTTCACTTTGTTCATTTTCATTGGTAAGTGGTATTCCATTGTGTGAATGCATCAGAATTTATATAATCTGTGAGACATTCAGTAAGTATGAGGATATTATGCTGCTTATAAATAGTCTAATACATGGTTTTTAGTGAATATGTATGTTAATATTAATTTTATTTATTAATGGAAAATTTACTGGATAGACTAAATAGATTAGCTATATCATATTTAATTGAAGATAGATCAGTAGAAGTTATCTGCTCTGAAGAATAAGGATAAATAAAAGATTGACAGAGCCTTAGGGACCTGTGAAATAATATTAAATGGTGAAACATGTCATTTGAGATGCACAAGAAAGCCATGTGAATGGGAAACAAAAGTATTTATAGAAATAAATAGAAACAACCAGAATTTTTCCAAATTTGATAGAAAACATGGACTTAGAGATTTTAGAAACTCAGTGCACCCCATGCATGGCACCACAAAGAAAAACACTTAACCAAATCACTGTGAAACCACTGAAAAAGATCTGAAAAAAAGATCCTCATATGGGCTGGCAGAGAAATAAGACATTCCATATAGGAAACCGTAATACCAACCATCTTGAGAGGAACAAAACAATGATAAATTTAAAGTGGTGATAGATAATTTATTCACCTGGAATTTTGTATCCAGAGAAAATGTTTTTCAAAAATGAGAGAATCCATGGCCAGTGTATCTTCACTACAAGTAAATGCTAAAGGATGGTATTCAGGACAAAAAAGAATGCTACTAACCAGAAACTTCATGGTTAGGAAATGATTAAAAACAAACAAAAAAAGGAAATGGTGAATAAATGGTAAAAGATACTGTTTTGTAGTTCTTCCCATAATTTCACTAAAAGATAAATGGCTGCTTAAAAGAAAAACAAAAACATTTAGGAAGATAGAGTTTATAAAATTTGTAGAAGAATATGAACGATAGCACAAAGGATGGTTAGTATGGTTAAATGGAATCATACTATTGAAAGGTTAGTACCTTCAGAGGTTGTTACACTTTTGGTAGAAAGTGTAAAACAGATATGGACATGGGGAATGTGATATGGAAAGTAGGGATTATGTAGTAGAACTATATTGATTCCAAGTAGACTTTGAGATAAGGATTCTTTCATAGCTCAGAGGAAGTAAACAGAATACTAATAAGTTCAAAATAAGGAAAAATAGAAAAGCAAAATTTTTAAAAAGCAAAAATGGAGACACAAAAGGAAAACAAATAAGATAGTAAAATATAACCATACCAATAACTTTTATGTAAATGGACTAAACAGCCCTTTTGTATGGGAAAAGTAGACTGAATAAAAAAAGCTAAAACAAATATCACTCCCTACAAGAAATGAAGACACAAACAAGTTGTGAGTAAAACTGTAGAAAAGTTATACCAAGCAAACAATAGCATAAAGAAAATGAAAACACTATTTTAATATCAGAGTATTACAGGAGATTAAAAAGGGATGCATCTCATAAGGACAAAAAGGTTTCTTTGTGAAGAAGATACAACCATGGTAAATGGACATACACATGAGTCCACTAGCTGAGCTTCAGAATTGGAAAGCCAGAGTCTCTGTTGATGATCTTCGCTCTCAGTCTGCTGAAATCATAGCCTCACTGCATCTTAGTCAAGTTGAAATCTTGTACTTTAAGTGTTCTAGTTTTTCTTGTAACAGTCATAAGTAATGGTCACTTAGCATCTTTTTTCCTTTTGTAAATTGTACCTTAGTGAGAAAAGTAACAAATGTAAAAGTGCAAACCTGATAGGGTCAGGGAGTGGATCACCTAGATCTTTAAAGAAGACCAAAAAATATTACTTAGTGTTTTAAGGTTTGTATGGTGCTTGTGGATCTTGATACAGCCCGGTTGATTTTGTCATTTTGTATGTTAATTAAATGAACATATTAAATAATTATATCCTCTCAACTATGCTGGCAGAATTTATAATCTCTCAAATTTCTTCAGTTCTTGGGTTCTGCATAGGTAAGCTGTTTTGTTTTCTGCTCTGCCCAACTTTCTTAGATCCAAGTATATAAAAATGAAACTCAGGGTATCACCAGCTCTGGCTTTGCATCTTTGACATTTGAGGGAACTTTGGGAGCTCCTGTCATACCTCGTACTTCAAGCAAGTATTTTAACTTCACTGCTGAGGACCAGAAAATGGTAGAAGCTTTACGTGTTTGGGCATCTACTCATATTTCACCTTCTTCAACATTAGTAAAATTGTGTGATGTTCAACCATTGCAGTATTTTGACCTGACTTGTCAGCTCTTGGGCAAAGCAGAAGTGGATGGAGCATCATTTCTTTTAAAGGTAGGTATTTTAAATACTTTAAGTTGTAAGTTAACACCACCTACATGAGTTTACGTTTCATTTTGATGGGATAAGTATGCATACTGTGTTATTATATTAAGAACTTTAAATCCAGCTTAACCATTTATGATGAGCTGAGATATTCATGCAACTCTACTCTTGAATTTCTTTATACTTCCAGAGAAAAATAGTATTACAGTAGTTTATAGTTTATGCTTTATTTTTATTTTAGAATTAATAAAATATATTTTCTACTGTTTTAGTTTAGTTACAGTTCTACATATGCATGTTTTTGCTTCCCTGTCAAGGTATCCTTCCTTCTCATTTATTTTCTTGGCTCATGGATGTTGGGTTTTCTTCCCATGTCATTTCACTGCTTGTTTCATCGGGTAGATCACAGATGATTTTGAAGTATTTATTTTTATCCTTGTTCTCTTTTGTTTTTAAATCATCATGATTTTTAAAAAGTAATATAAGACCATATAATCTTTGTTTACATACCCCAATATACTCATGAATGGCTTCTGAAAAAGACAGTTGTCTGATGTTAATCCTCACCTACTCATACTAGGCAGGATGCATTTAAACAAACAGAGTATTGGGTTTACCTTAATTATCATTTATAACTTGCTCTTATTAAGGAATGGGGAAGATAGAAATCCCTGAATAAAAGGCGACGTTTTTTAAAGTTGTAAGTACTCTGAAAAAAATTAATTGCATGCTATAAAAAAGTTAAGTATGACATCTGAAGTTAAAGCAGAGTAAAATCATCCAAAGTTAGAAGGAATCATAGGTCAGCCAGTCATAGTTTCTGCCCAAAGTGACATTCTTAACAAATGAGCTTTTGTTAATCACTGAATGTTTCTGATGACAAGTAATCTATTGTGCAGAGTATACCTCCATCTTTTGACTGCTGTGTTAGAAAATTCTTAAATTCTGAGATATAATCTGCAGCCTTTTAGCTGACATGGCTGAATCTGCATTCACTCTAAAGCAACAAAACATATGCCTGCATCCCATTTTTATAGATAGCCTTTTCAGATAAGTGAAAACAGCTTTCATGTCGATGTTATTTTAGAATACAGCATTCAGAAGTGAATGTAAGAATTTCTTGAGGACAATTTAAAATAAATCTCAGAAGTCTGTATACTCTTTGACTCAACAATTTTCTTTCTCTAAATTTATTTTTTAAGTTTTCTAAGTTTATTTTGTAAATATGGAAAATTGCATTTAAAATAATATTCTTATATTTCTTACAGTAATAAAAATTGGAAAAATTCATTACTAACAATAGAATTAATGTGAAGTAGTAATGTATTATGTAATACTCTTTCAATAAAATGACATTGTAGACATAGTTATTAATATGGATATTCATAATTCTACTTGGCAATTAATGCAATTTTATTTACATACTAAATGTATTATATGCATAGTAAAAATACATTAAGAAGAATATATAGCAATATTTTTACTCATGTTATCTCTGGGAAGTCAAATTTTGAGTGATTTTTTTTTTCTGAAATTGATTTTCCTATCACATACCAGAAATAACTTTTTAAATTATGTTTTAAACACAAAAAGAGCCAGACATTACTCCAAGGTGAGGTATGGAAAGCATGGAATGTAGCAATTATTTCCTGTCTCATCCTGCATATGATAGTAGTACAGTTTCCTTTATTAGTAACTATGATACTAATTTAATTATTCTTATAGACATGTTTTACCAGTAGCACATTAAAACAAGTATACACTGTAATCCAGTTTATTTTTAGAAATCAGAAATGATTATTTTTAAAGAAAACTATAATCCTCTTTGTGAATGTTAAATATATTTGTGAAAATGTTTAGCAAAATAGAAATATGCCTCCTTGACTTGATAAACAATTTCTCCTGTAAATCAAAATGTTTAGTGGTAAAATTCTGTCAATAATGCCAGGAACAAGACAAAAATACCCACTATTTCTCCGTTACGTTGTTCAGGAAATCTCAAGAATTCACTAAGATAAAAAAAAAATGAGAGTTATAACTCTCTTTAAAAGAATGAAAAAAAAATCAGTACTTTTAAGATGTAAAAACCCAAACAATGAACTGAAAAGCTATTTGGATTAATAAAATTATTCAGTGACATAGCTGATTTAAAACATTAGTGAAATACAGCTTTGCTCCATATTAGTAACAAATAGAATATATCATTGAGCAAAAGTTCTTTCAACATCACAATGACTGTAAAACAAGACAGTTACAGCAAGAAATCCCTGAGCGTCTGTGAAGAAAACTAGAAAGATTTACTGAGGAGCATGAAAGAAAAGTTAGGACTACTAAAAAAATTTTTATTCTTTTTTAAAGTGTTTTTTTTTAATGAAATGCCATTTTTGTTATAACTGTATTTATTGAATTGACAGTGGTTCTGAAATTTATTAGAAACACTAAATGATCAAGAATAAGACAAGAAAAACTTGACAAAGAAAACTCGGTCGTTTTCTACCATATCAGATATCAAAGCATATTGTTCAATTACATTAATTAAGATTATAGTAAAATTGATGAATGGAAAAGATTGGGAACCTCAGAAACAATCTTACACTGTACGTATAATATATGCATGATAAAAATAACATTAAAAATCATTTCAAATTGATAGATTGTTAAATAGTGATTATTACCTGTTTTGAAAAAAGAATCAGATCTATATATAATACACAAATTTCTAACAGATTAAGTTTTGATACAAAATTACAAAAGTTCCAGAAGTCATTAAAAAACAAAGCAAGACTGGGTTGTAAGTGATTAAAACTGAAGCATAAAAGCAATGTAGCTACACTGCTCTCTCAGCTCCTCCCCCAAAAGACTGGTAGATTTGTCTGTAAAGCTATTTGAAAGTCATAAAAACAGTAACACAAAATGAAAGAACAAATTCCAAGTGGAGACAAGTGTTTGCGACATGTAAGTGTTCCAAAGTGTTTGTCCTAGTTCTTTGAATAATCTAGGGAACAGTGAGTGACCCAGACTCAATGATTGTTTATTTGAAACTTGGCCTAGTCACCAGCCTTATTGAATACTTCCTCTGTAAGTGGACACTGGCAGACAAGTACTCTGTAGAAATGTAGTGTTTTCTGTTTAGCGAGCCTGTTTCTCTTGCCTAGCCAAATTTCTTACATACAGAGGGATTCTTACCTCATGCCAGATGTCTTTTGTCATGCCCTTCTATAACAAAGGGCCTAGCACAGCACAGGCTAGCTTGCATCTTAAGGATGGCATGGTGCATATTTACTCATCCTGTGCCCTGCTGCATCCTTATCTCAGCATAGCTTACGTAGCAGTTCAGTATATCTTTTCCTTTTCCAGCCCCCATGAGTTTCATTCATTTGTATTCATAATCTCTGACATAAACAGAATGTTCCTCTCTGTACTTTTAAAGGCCTTTTCCAAAATAGAACAAAGTGAAAAAATGAGCGAAGTTTAGGATACATTCCTAAAAGTTAGGGATTCATACTTAAGAAAATGAGCAGATAGTCATAAAGGTTTGTATATAAGATGGTAAAAAGATAAATTCAACAATATGTTAATACTTTTTTCTAAGCAGTATGAATTTCTTTCTTCTTTGTATTTTCTTCATGTCCTATATCTATGTAGTCCTTTTATATAGATAGTCCTTTTATATACATGTTATCAGAACATACACCATATTTAAGGTTTAGCAGATATTTGAGGGAATACATTTAATTACTTTTAAGTTATGTTATCAGCGAATAAAATTCTTCTAAAAGTCTCTACAGTTACACAAAAAGATCCTTAAACTTTGCTCTACTTTGTTATGGCAGGTATGGGATGGCACCAGGACCCCGTTCCCATCATGGAGAGTCTTAATACAAGACCTTGTACTTGAAGGAGATTTAAGTCATATCCATCGGCTGCAGAATCTGACAGTGGACATTTTAGTCTACGATAATCATGTTCAAGTGGCAAAATCTCTAAAGGTGATGTTGAGTAGCAAATGTTTGCTCTTTTTGTTTTTACAGATGGGTATATCACATTTACAGATATTTGAGGTCTAGAAATTAACTTTAATTTTTAATGTGTAAAATATATTGAAAATAAATTATTAGAAGATGCATTAAGTTATAGTGTCATAAACAACTTATTGAAATTATAAAGAATATTTCTTGAATATTTTAAAGCTGTATACAGTTTTACTATAAAAATAGGAAAAATTTTATTTTACAAAATTGTATAAAAAACGTGTAAGCTTAAATGTTAAGCTTTATTAATTGGTTTTTCAAAATCTAGCCTACAACTTTGTGCTCATTATTTTAATTGTTAATCTACTTCTAATATATATCATAAATTATATGTTTGTACTGTACAGTTTATTAGAATTTGCTCACTGCTTCTGAGTTATTTTTTAGGTAAAAGTGAACTTCAGATATGGCACTTCTTGATTATTATTATTGGGAATATTTTATTTTTTTTATTTGCGGATATCTTTTCTAGCAACAAATGGCATCATTAATAACAATAGTAATGTTTGGTAAGCACATCATATATATTTAGCACTATCCTGTGTAGTTGGTCACCATTGTCACCATTCCTATTTTATAAATTAGAAAACTGAGCAAGTTTTTTTAATAAAGAATAGTTAAGGCAATCTTAAGCCCAAGATTTCATGGCTATGTGGATGAAGCCAGTATTTGACTCTAGTATTTGCATCCAGAGCCAGTCCTTTTAAAGCAGTATAAAGAAATGATTCTGTTTATTGCAAATAGCATCCATTCTACCTTTAGGGAGTTATACAACCTACTTATAGAAAGTTATATGGCCCGCTTATCGGAAGAAAACAGTAAAAGTGAATTGCAGTTGTTTTAGATCTGAATTTTATGCCCTGTTTTCCCTTGTAAATAAATGTTCTTAGAAAAAGAAATAGTTTCTCCTACACTGCATTACAAATAAGCCCATCCAACTCAAGTCAATAAATTTACGTTAAAGTGAGGGTCCAGGAAAGTGATAACTGAACTTTCTTGTCCTTTGTGTGTGTGTGTACATGTTTTCATACCTAAATATCAAGAGAAAATTGGCTGTTGAAAATACATGTTTTGCTGCTTTTCCCTGATTTTCTCTAAACGGATTACTTTATTTTAAAAATAAATGTAATGATAAAGCTAACTCAAAGTCTTTTAAATGCAGATAGAGTTCTGGGGCACCTGGGTAGCTCAGTTGGTTAAACATCTGTCTTGGGCTCAGGTCATGATCTCAGGGTCCTGCAGTAGATCCCTGCTCAGTAGGGAGTCTGTTTCTCCCTCTGCTTACGTCCCACCCACCGCCTCGTTCTCACTCTCTCAAATAAAATAAATAAAATCTTTAAAAAATATATATAGAGTTCTTATGAATGAAAAAGGTTTACATTTTCTGTTAAATTCTACTTTCACAATGTAATTCCCTTCTCTCTTTATGCTGCTTTTATAGGTCTTTCTGTTACCCCCCCTTGCTTGTCCTGATTTCCTTGAAGTTATTGAATACCGCCTAGCACAGTGCTTTCCTTTTAGTAAGGATGAAGTGAATAATATCTGCTAGTAGTGAATGAATCAGTGAGCACTGAATTTTCAAATTTTTTTTCAGCTCCCTTTTTGTCTGCTTTATCTCACCCACTAGAGGGTGCTTTGAGCACACATTATTAGAAATATAGTACACTTCATCTTTTTCAAAAGATATCGTAACATCATATTATTTATCTGCAATGTAATAGGAAAATGAAAAGGATTTTCTCTGTATAAGTAATGCATCTGTTGGCTTTTATTAAATGTATATTGACATCCCATTTTATTTGTTCTAAGACAACCATTTGATATTAATTTAAGAAATCCCCAGAGTCAGATGACCTTGATATAAATGAATTCTTATCAGCACTTGGTGACAACTGTTTGAAATTGATACTGAAATACATGGAACAGGGATCCCTGGGTGGCGCAGCGGTTTAGCGCCTGCCTTTGGCCCAGGGCGCGATCCTGGAGACCCGGGATCGAATCCCACGTCGGGCTCCCGGTGCATGGAGCCTGCTTCTCCCTCTGCCTGTGTCTCTGCCTCTCTCTCTCTCTCTGTGTGTGTGCCTATCATAAATAAATAAAAATTAAAAAAAAAAAAAAAGAAATACATGGAACAATGGAACAGATTTTTATTGAATAGGAACAGGGAAAAAATATTTTTTAATAAAGAAAATAGTTAAGGCAATCTTAAAGTATAATTGGCTTTTATATATAATACATTTTATAATTGAAATTGCCTTTAACATTTCTCCTAAATTTTGCTTTTTAAAAGTGTTACACAAGCATACATGCACAAACCCACATATATATGGGCACACATGCATGCGCGCGCACACACACGCACACACACACACACACACACACAAACTTCCAATTCAAAGTTTTTGTCTAGAAATTAAAGCAGTGTATTCCCAATCATTAGTCTTATCCTGACACAATTTAAAAGTAATTATAAAAAATATATAGTCTTAATTATTTTTTAGCCTTCAGTGTCCCAAGAGCTGACTCTCAGTTCAACTGATTGTTTTCAGACATACACAGGTAATTAAAACGTTAAACTTAAAGGGAATTTCTTGATAGTTTGTGGAGGATTAAAATTATTTCTAAAGGGATAGCAATTTATTGATAGCTATATTTGCTTTATTTTTTATGTTTACTGAAATGGACTTTTATCACAATTTTTGAAAGTATATTTTTATAATTTTTGATTATGACTCACATTTTTAGAATCTTACCACATTACTGACAAGATGAGGCAATATGTATCTATTATAGTAGAGCATCTGGCACATTTCATAGTATATTTAGCAAGCTTAAAAAAAATACAATGCTGCCTCCAGAAGGAATTTCTGGAAATAACAGTTTGTCATCTTGATAGGCTATTTATATAAATAAATTCTTTCTTAATCTTTACTGTTTTATTATGAAAGACAGTAGTAGAAAAGTTAATGCAATAAATACCCATGTGCATGTCATCTAAATTTAACATTTTTAAATGTTTTTGCCACACTAATTTCAGGTACTTTTAATTTTTAGGACATAAATCTCTACATTTTGAATCTTCTTTGTACGTCTGTACGTTCTAAATTTTGCTCCCTAGTGTCTTCTTTCTTTTTATCCTAATATGTAGGTATGTACACGTGTTTATTATGCTTTTATGTACTCATCTCTGAAAAATGCATATGGAATATGTATTATTCTGTAATTTGCTTTCTTTCTTTGATGTTATACTTTTAAGATATATCCATGTTTATGTGTTTGCATTAATACCACAGGGTCTTAATTATTACAGCTTTATTTTTATTTTTTATAGCTTAGTCTTTAAATGATATTCTGTAGATCAAGCAAACTTCCTCCCCACCCCAGTTTAGTCTTCAAACTTGACTTGTGCTTCATATCCATATACATTTTCAGATCAGCTTTTCAAATTCCATTAAAGACTGTGGAGATTTTGATTGAAATTACACTGATTTTAAAGATTAATTAATTGGGGGAGGATTGCTATCTTTAAAACTTTTCATTTATGAATATGATATCTTTCTCCGCGTGTTTGACAGAGAGAAAAAGAAAGCACAAGCAGGTGGAGTGGCAGGGACAGGAAGAAGCAGGCTCCCTGCTGAGCAGAGAGTTGGAAGCAGGGCTCGGATCCCAGGACCCCAGGATCATAACCTGAGCTGAAGGCAGACGCTTAACAGTCTGAGCCACCCAGGCGCCCCTAAACTTTTTTTTATATCTATACAGAGCATTTTATTTAGAGGGAAGTGGTTTTTAATTTTTTTTTTAAGTATATCTTCCCAAAACTTGGGTCTGGAACTCATGACCCCAAGATTAAGAGTCACAAGCTATACTGACTGAGCCAGCCACGTACCCACATGTGTTTCGGCCCATTTTCAGTGCTTTGTATAAACATGTCCTGTATTAGTGTATAACCTATATTTAAAAAGAATCATAGAATAATAAACGTTGGAAAGAGTGAGATAAAGTGCATAGAAGTAGACTGATTTTTTTTTCCAGTATCGTACTTTGGAGACCATGAGGAAAATCAGTTTTCTCTTTTATTTTTTGCTTTCTGTATTTTCCTTCTCTGACTTTTTACCCTGCTCCCCTGCAGGGTAGATGTCAGTGGAAGAATCAGAAACAAAAAGACCTAAATCCCTACCTCCTCCTCACAAAAACATGACTGAAAGGAAAAAAGTTATATAGCTTCTTCCTTTGAGTGGGTGTCAATTTCTTTAATAAACATTCTGCATCTGTCATTTTAAGTCTTCTACATTAAAAGAATATCAAATACTCTATAATTAAAGACATTTTTAAGACTAAACAAGACATCTAAAATTATGGAACATTTAGTTCAAAATTATAATTGGTTTAATCTTGTATTTGAACTCATTTTAGAATGTGTTTCACGTTATGGTGTAAAGACACAGTGCTTATTACAAAAGTTTTCTTTCCATAAAACTTGTGGACTAGGGGGATATTTATTATTACTTGTGGAATAGGGGGATATTTTTATATTACATTAAAAAATTTTCTAGTATTCACATAATGAGAGTATTTTAGCAATCATATTTAATTAAATCTTACCTTTAGCTAAAACAAGTTATTTTCAGAAGACTCAGTTTTCTAAATCAAATAGAAGGCTTGAGTTTGATTTACGTAGTAGGTTTCTTAACTACTGTATTTTATCAATGCTAAGACTCAATCTTATGTCACATTTTAATATCTCAGACATGGATATATGTCTTCCATTTGAAAAAAACATATATAGATGGATATATATACATATATATATGCACTTACATAGTTAATGTAGATGTGTATCCATGAGTCTAGGTATACATATATACATGCATATATATATATACACACACACACGCACGCGCATACATTTGTATGTATACATACATGTGCGTGTGCACATCACACATGAACGAACACATGTTTTAGTTTTGATACAGTGTCCTTGGGGTGATACTCGGTACACACCAGGATAACATACCAGGATTCTTTCTGATTAGTCAGCACTCCTGCTTATTGGTCTTATGCCCCATTTTGGCTAAGTATTTTATGTATCAGAAATTGTTTGATTTTTCTTCATTTTCTAAACAATAAATAATGTATTTTTAGGTTGGAAGCTTTCTTAGAATTTATAGCCTCCATACCAAACTTCAGTCACTGAATTCAGAGAACCAGGCAACGTTGTTAGCTCTAGAATTTCATCTCCATGGGGGTACCAGTTACGGCCGGGGAATCAGAGTCTTGCCAGAGAGTAACTCTGATGTGGATCAACTGAAAAAGTAAGCATATCATATGCCTATTTAGAAATTTCAAATAAGGTATTAATTAAGCTGATTTCCAAGATACTATTGTTCTAGATTGGGGCAGATGGATCCAATGAGTTCTTTGTAATTGATCCTCATAATCTACTGTGCCAGTTATCCATTTGTTTAAATAGATGAACCAAATGAAACAGAAGTTAAATGATTGTAAGTTCAAATAGATAAGTAGTAGCAGAGCCAGGCAGGGTATGGTGTATGGTTTCCAGTAATGACTTGTGCACTTATATCTACAGTGTGCTTATGCTCTTTTTCCACCATTTGGCACATTTCCCAAGTATACCAACAAACAGTTGAAACTGGAGCTTAGCTAAAGTTTGGAAAACTTGATACATATCTAGAATTCCAGACATACTTAATCCTGCCATGAAAGAATATTACCTTTTTAAAGTGCTTATGACTGATAAAACAGGTGACAGAAATGTTTTGGAGTATCCTATTTTAAAAACTTACAGATGTGCCCAGGAAGTGAATTGTATCTTAAGTCCTGCTACACATGCAGCTCTCATTTTTGTAAAGTATCTCTACTGCTCACTGTGTACAATATTCTGGATAAGTAACTAAGTAAACCCATTTGGTAAGTTGAAATGAAGAAATATTTCTAAGTTTTAATATGTTGAAATCAGTATGACTTTTAAAACCAATAAGCTATTTTTATAATCTTGTATCAGTTTTACTTATTTATTTCTCATATTGCCATATATAGAGCACAATATTTCACTTTTTGATTCTGGAATGAGATTGTTTTGACAGAGTGCCATCATTAAATTCCCAGTTTATTTTTGTTTGCAGCATTTCATCATCATGTTGTTTTACTCCTATCTTTCGAGGATCAGATTTTTTAAACGTGGGGTACCTTAGAACCTCAGATAGTCTGAGGAAAGCTGTAGACCTTCTACTGAAGAAGATATACACACACATAATTTTTTATACAATTTTAGTGATTTCTTGTTTTCTAAGAATAGAATTAAACTAGTCATATTGACTATTTTATGCAATTTGATGTGAAATTATGTTCTTTCAATTACAGAGTTTTAGAATCTGCAGATTTGACAGCCAGTCAGTGTTCCGATGCTGTATGTCATTCAGAACATGAGGACAGCTTTCGGACTCTTTCGAGTAAGGACAGTGTTTAATGTTAACGGTTTAATCTTTGCTAAGTAAAATGGCTTTATCAGTATTCTCTTTTTTAATACTTTCCTATCTCTGCCTAGCTTTTTTTGTTAAATCCATATTCATTGTAAAGGAACAGGCTAAATCTATTATCTGTATCCTGTGCAGAGGTTAACATTATTTCTCCCTTAATTATTTAATTGCATTTTCAAATTGGGATGATATATACTGATTTGTGGTATATGTAGTATTTATGTATATATGTTTATATGTGTGTATATATGTGATACATATGTGTGTTTGTATATTCATTAAAATTCTGTATTTCCTAGGCAACCACTTTGTCAGTTTCTAAAATGAACGGTGATTGTTTTTGCTGTTTTATTTCAAAAAGCTAGATTATCTTTTGATCACACATATTTTAGATATACACATGGTTCCCGGTCTTTTTTTTTTTTTTTAATTTTATTTATTCACGAAAGACACAGAGAGGCAGAGACAGAGACAAAAGGGAGATGCAGGCTCCCTGTGGGGAACCTAATGTGGGACTCAATCCCAGGACTCTGGGATCACGCCCTGAGCTGAAGGCTGATGCTCAACACTGAGCCACCCAGGTATCCCTGATTCCCAATCTTTATCAAGTTCATCAGGTACCTAGTTACAAGATCTTAAATATTTGGTTCTGTATTTTTATTATTGTCTACCTGAAAGGTGACGGTTCAAGTCTAAATTTTAAAAATCTGTAAGATTTTCTCCTTTACCATTTTGCTTTAATATCTGCTTGTACATTCTGGGACCTATAATCTATCTCATATTTTTAGCCATATTTTTTTTTCAATCTAACTCCTTCCCTATTATGATATAAACTATTTTATGAGTATTTTCTCTTTCTATACCAGTAATGACAAGCATTAAAATTAACCTGTATTGCTTGGTGTAGGTGCCTGCATGCATTATTATTTAATCCTAACAGCATTCCTTTCAGCTTGAAATTATTTTGTCCCTTTTACAGAAAGGTACGTGAGGCTTTGAGTGATAGGGATCATGTAATTTGCCCAGAGTTACTTAGCTATTAACTGATGGCAAAGTCAGATTCAACAGCAGGTTATTTAATTTTTTGTACATATTTTAAATTTATTTATTTATCCTGCCCTTAAAACTCCACATTTCTTAGTGCCTTGGTGATGGCATTTAGCCTGATCTGTGATTACTTAAACTCCCACTAGCAGGCTAATTTACTTTACCTGACAGTCATGTGGGGACAGCATAATTTGTAATTATCCTTTATGAAATCTCTTTTCTCCTTTTACAAAGATTTTTAAATTGTTTTTAAATTATAAAGTTAATATGTATCATGATATCAAGTTACACAGCTTCCCCATGCCCTTGTGCCCACTCCTGAGGTCACGTTAACAGTTTAGTGTAGTTTCTTCAACGCTTTCATGCTTATACAAATACATATACACTTGTACATAAACAGACATGACTTTCCCCTCTTTAAAATATCAAAATGAGGTGCCCAGGGGATCCCTGGGTGCCTCAGCGGTTTAGTGCCTGCCTTCAGCCCAGGGGCGTGGTTCTGGAGTCCTGGGATCGAGTTCCACATCAGGCTCCCTGCATGGAGCCTGCTTCTCCCTCTGCCTGTGTCTCTGCTTCTCTCTCTCTCTCTCTCTCTCTCTCTCTATCTCTCATGAATAAATAAATAAAATCTTAAAAAAAAAAAAAAAAGAATGAGGTGCCTGATGGCTCAGTTGTTTTAGCATCTGACTCTTGATTTCATATCAGGCCTTGATCTCAGGGTTGTGAGTCAAGTCCTGTGTTGGGCTCCATGCTTTAAAAAAAAAATTTACAAAAATGGGACCATACTATACAGTTGCTTTCTTTATTAGTACACACCATAGACCTTTTTATGGGCTAGTCCATGTTCCTCAAACTCATTCTTTTAATAATTACATATTTTATAATGTGAATCTAACTTTATAAATTCAGCTGTTTTCCATTTGATGAACATTCAGGTTGTTTGCAATTTTTTGCTCTTACAAACTGCTTTAGAAACCATCCTTGAACAATTGTACATTTCTGCTTTTCTTTCTCTAAAATAAACTCCTAAAAGAGGGATTGATAGATCAAGGGGTAAGCACATCTTTGTATTTTAAGAGATGCTGTCAGATTATATGACAGAATGTCATAGGATTCATATGCAAATAGCACTGTAGGAAAATGTCCTTTCCTCACATTCTCAAGTGGTATTGGAGGTCAGCAGTGTATGTAAATTTTGACAGTTTGGCAGGTATAAGGCGATATCTTATTTAGTTTCCTGAGTACTTGGAAACTTGAAAATACTATATATTCATCGGCCATTTTACTTCCTCTTTTTTGGTTTATCTGTTCTTATTCTTTATCTGATTTTTCTGTTGGTTTTAAAATTTTTAACCTTTTTTTTTATCAGTTTGTGGGAGACCATGAATATATATTTTACACTAATTTTCATATTATTTGAATGTTTTAAAGTTTTTGCCATTATTTTCACTTCATGCACAACAGCTGATGCTGAGTAATCAGATTCATTGAAATTATATTTTGCCAGCTTAATATTCCATTCAGGTTCTCTTGTCATTGATTCTTATGCCGTTTATTAGTGATGTTGAGAAAGAAGGACAATTAATGCACATGTTTGTATATGATGCCACATAAATTATAGAAACATACTATGCTGTTCTATATAATAGAATGTAAGCTAAAGTAATTGCAAAATATGAGTACTTTTTAGTCTCAAATTCTTCATTTTAGAAAGCACTATTAAAACCTATTGCTACATTCATTACTTCTACTTTCTTGTTAAAGTAAAATCCTATCTTACGGTCTTCATCCAGTCATCCTGTTCAATTTAGTAAGTTTATTATCTTATCCATTTCTGTTTTCATTTCTTTCACAGTGTGTTTTTCCAAAATAATAAAAATTTTCAAACATACAGAAAAACCAAAACAGTTGTACAGTGAATACTCATATACATTCTATCTGGATTCTCTTTCCTCTGTTCTATGCTTCTGTCTTTTAATCCATCAGTCTGTCTTATATTCTGATACAATTCAAAGTTGCAGGCATAAATACACCTCCTAAACATTTCCCAATGAATATCGTTAACTAGAATTCAATATTTGTTGACCCTTTTTATTTTTGGTGTAAAGTTATATGCAGTGAAATGGACAACCTGAGTGTACCAGTCAGTCCATGAGCTTTGGCTAATTCATGGTGTAACTTGAATCCCCTTAGGGACGCCTGGGTGGCTCAGCTGTTAAGCGTCTGCCTTCAGCTCAGGGAGTGATCCTGGGATCCGGGATTGAGTCCCACATTGGGCTCCCTGCATGGAGCCTGCTTCTCCCTCTGCCTATGTCTCTGCCTTTCTCGTGAATAAATAAATAAATCTTTAAAAAATAAAATAAATCCCTTTAAAAATCTAAAACATCACCCTTGTTGCAGAAAGTTCCCTCATGCTCCTTCTCAGTCAATCGTCATCCCCATTAGAACCCCATAAGTTCTGATTTTTTTCCACCATAGATAATTTTGCTTCTTCCAGAATTTCAAATAAATGGAATAATATGTTACATACTCTTTTATGTACTATATGTTTTTGAAATTCATCCACATCGCATGTATTAGAGGTAGACTTTCTTTTAAAGATGAATTTCCAATCATTATAGCATCATTAATTTCCTTTTTTTCTGTAAAATGCCTTGGGTGTCTTTGTCAAAAATCAAATGAATGTAAATGTGGATTTATTTCTGGGCTTTCCAGTCAGAAGTTCTCAGTAGTATGGTGTGAAGTAAACATTTGTTTCCCTCATACTAATTTCCAGTTGTTGCAGTACCAGAGTTTTGCTCTCCCTTTGGATTGCTTTGCTGCCTTTATCAAAAATGAAATGCAGGTTTATTTTTAGGCTTCCTTTGTAATTCTCTTGATAGGTTTGTGAGTCTTCATGCCAGTATCATATTACCTTGATTACTATGGCTTTATAATAAGTCTTGAATTCAAGTAGAATAAGTCCTTGAGTTTTGTTCTTTTTCAGGATTGTATTTTATATTTTAGATTCTTCCCATTTATACCTGAGTGATAGAATCTCTTGTCTTTTTCTGCAATACAGCCTCTGCAATTTTGATTAGGATTGTATTGAATCTATAGATCAATTTGGGGAGAATTGATGTCTTAACAGTTTTTAGCCTTCCAGTCCATGAACATAGCATATTTTACTCTTGTTTAGATTTTCTTCAGTTCCTGTCAGCAATTTTTCAGTGCTACATGGAATTTTTAACGGATTTTAAAATTGTTTAATTCTTTTTCCCTTCTCCTTCATGTAGGCTCTGGATCAGTATCACTGTATGAAGTAGAAAGATGTCAGCAACTATCAGCTACAAGTAAGATCAGTTCATTTTTGAAATATGAGTGTGATAGTGTGCATAATAAAATCTGTCTTACTAACTAATTTGTTCCTAATATTGAATTTGTTCCTAATGTATCCCTATTTATATTTTATCTCCCTACTTCATCCTAAGTGGCATAACATGGGAAACCAGAAAAATACATGGTTTTACATTGACTATATGTTTTAAGTCATATATCTGTAAGTTTTATAAAACATATTCCATTTAACAGTAGAGTGGGGCTTATTTTATTTTGAGAATGCAAAATATGACATAATTTTTATCTTTTCACGCTGTTCATTTAGCCATCTGCCTATAAAGGAGCTCCTTACAATATACCCCAAAACTTTAATGTTAGCGATGATAGTAAATCTGTCAGATACCTCTTTCTGTTACTTTAGCTAAGATAAAATAATTTAAGAAAAAAAATATTTTTAAGCACAAGCCTGTTAAGTGAAATTCTGTATAATATACTCTTAAGAAATATCAGTTTCTCATTACTGGAGAAAGATCATACAGCTATGAAACAGGGGAAAGCTAGAAGAAAGAAGCTTATGGTGGTGTTATTGGAATAGGAAGTGTCAGTATGTATTCATGGTTTTATAGATATAGAAGTAGATGTAAATGTGTCTTTTTACATATATATTCATATATATACAGGTGCGTGTAAGTATAGGTATGAACACATGTGCATATACACCCAATTCTGTCCAGCTAAAGGGCTTCAAAGTAATGGCATGGCCCAGTAGCAATGAATGTCCCTAGTGCATGAATATTGGCTGATAAATAATATTCTCCCTTAAAAGGAGTCAGGGCTGCTTATAGAAATAGCAGACTCCAGGATTGGGACAGGAGAATTATGAGTCTGGAACATCTTGTGCCAGAAGGTAAAGAAGTTCTCAGGTAATGATGGAGCATGTCAAATCTGATACAGTTGGAGCATCAAAATAAAAAATACTGGTAATGGAATAAAACTGAATAAAGTAGGAATCCATTAGTCCATGTGGATAGTAAATAAAAGAACAAATGAATAATTAAATGAGATTGAATGGAAAGCCCTTACTTATAATAGAATGACGACTAATAAATGTAAAAAGACTGATGAAGTTGGGGGGAAAAATCATTTTGCAACCATGATGGTAATAATTGATTTAATGGTAAATCATCAGTGGATTCTAAACTATCAGGATCCTAAATGTTTACTAAAGAATGGGATATTTATACTTCCCCAAGTACTTTCTTATTATAAAGGGGAAAATAATGAATTTATAGTGGAGAAACCTGTTGAACACCACCAGCATAACCAACTGAGCAAAGTTAACATCCACGGGAATGAAAACATCAATAATATATATATACCTCTTTATACAATTCAGAGGATGTTTGTATCACTACTTACAGTATAATATACTGCCAAAAATGCGTGGTCTGCATCTGATCATGAGCAGAATCAGACACACCCAAATAAATGGCCTCTGCTCCTCAAATCTATCAGTGTCATGAAAGACCAAGAAAAACTGAGGGACCATTCTACATTAAAAAATTCCAAAGAGGGGCAGCCCCAGTGGCCCAGTGGTTTAGCGCTGACTTCAGCCCAGGGCGTGATCCTGGAGATCCGGGATCGAGTCCCACATCTGGCTCCCTGCATGGAGCCTGCTTCTCCTTCTGCCTGTGTCTCTGCTTCTCTCTCTCTCTCTCTCTCTCTCTCTCTCTCTCTCTCTCTCTCTCTCTCTGTCTCTCATGAATAAATAAATAAAATCTTTAAAAAAAAAAAAAAGTCCAAAGAGATAGGAAAATTAAATGCAATACATGGTTCAGGATTGGGTTCTGGACCTGAAAATAAAATTCTAAACATTATAGGGACAGTTGAAGAAATTTGAATAATATCTGTTGATTCAGTGATAATATTACATCAATGTTATATGTTCTTAGGTTGAAAATTGCACTGTGATAGGTCAATGAAATTTCTTGTGAAGTATACACTGAAATATTTAGAGATAAAGGAGCATGATATCTGGAAATTAATCTACAATGATCCATATGTGTATATATGAATGTGTAAGGAGTTATATATGAAGAGAGAGCTAAAGACAGATGGAGATGATAAATGTGGTAAAATATTAACAAGGCTGACAATATGCCTTAAATAATTCACTTTTGTATCTGTTGTGGGGGGAGTTCATATTATGAATATTCTTATTCTTGTAGATTATTCTAATTTAATCTAAAAATTCTTTTAAGTACTTACAGATCATCAGTATTTGGAGAAAACCCCAATATGTACTATTTTGAAACAAAAAGCTCCTCAGCAGTATCGTATCCGAGCCAAATTAAGGTCATATAAGCCCAGAAGACTCTTTCAGTCTGTTAAACTCCATTGTCCTAAATGTCATGCACTGTAAGTATTTTCTGTAATAAAACAAAAGTTTTTATTTCATAATATTTATGCTTTCTTATATATCACTTTAAGTCCTGGCAATGAGTAAATTGTGACTGTGTATTGTATTTTGAAACACTGGTAACATTTTTAAGAAAAAATACTAAATTTTAAAAAAGTAAATCCTTCTGATATTTCTTAGTAATGATAAATAAAAGTGAGTGCTTTTTTGAAATCTGAAATTCTATTTAGTAGTTCTGATTCATGCAAACAAACTATAAAAATACTTGGGGAAACTTTCTCATTTTTCACAAAAGAACTTCTTAAAAGTAAACCTTTAGTAACTAAAACTCTTAAATAGAGAAGAATTCTGGTTAGATGAAATTTCTAAATAAATGATAAAGAAAGCCTTGTTGATAATATAGCCTTGTCTTAAATATAGTATTCATAACTTAAATTTTTACTAATCATTGAGAACTTCTCAGTGCAGCAGACTTTATTTCCAAACATCAATTATTATACATATATAAATAACTTTATAAGACATTAGAATGAATATGTACTTATTAGGTCAAGACATATTCTGAAATTATATTTAATCTCTTTTCCTTTTTCATGCAATTTGTCTACCCTCTAAATATATAATGTGTAAATAAAGTACATTTCCATTTTAAAGTACATATTTGTGTGTATATATATTTGTGTGCATCTGTGTACACTAATACTAATATACATATATTTACTATTAACATTACAAAATACTGCTATTTGTAGAGATTTTTGATCATCAGACTTCCTCATATAAAATGGGGGGCCATTTGCTACCCATTTGAGCTTGAAATGGTAGTTGGAATTAAAATACAGATTTTAGGTAATTATTGAAATATTAAGTTAAAGCTTGTCAAATTCTGTAAAGTTGTATAGCTTTGCCAAACAAAGCCATCCTCTCTGAACATTTTTTTAAACAAATAAAATCATCTCAGAAAGGCTAAAGGTGTACCTTAAACTTACCTTAAGTTACACAACAGGTTGGGGACAGAACCAGGATGAGGACATAGACCTTTTGGTTCTGGATCATGTCATTTATTTCGTATACATACTTTACCATGCAACTTTTTAAAATTATTATTCTAGGTTAAATGTAATCGAAGGGAGTATCAGTTTGTAAAGTAGGTGCCCTATGAAAGGGGGATTACTTAGGTTAGGTAAGTGGATATTTAATGGGCAGCTGTCTTTTTTCCCCCCACAGAGAAGTTTAACATTCTTTACAAAAAGAGAATGAATTGGTGTTAGAAATAGTTATAAGATCCCTGTTATTACTAAACCAGATAAGGAAATTGCTGGTGGTTAATGTAATTATGATAGATCTACTCAGACGTGAAGTATCATCAAATGTATCTTTTTTGTTGAATAAGTCATTCAATCTGCAAAGTGAATTATCTCCATATTTTAAAATAAGTAGCTGGCTCATCAGCATATAAACAAAATTTTTTTAATTGGATAATTTGTTAAATTTGAATTTCTAAGTTTATACCAATTGGTTTGTATTTCGTCATTGATGATTTTAGGCAAGAAGTTCCACATGAGGGTGATATGGATATAATTTTACAAGAGGGTGCAAGTAAGACCCCAGATACCAAACTACAAAATACATCATTATATGATTCAAAAATGTGGACCACTACAGATCAAGGGGAACGAAATGTGGCTGTTCATTTTGTAAAAAATAATGGTATTCTTCCACTTTCAAGTGACTGTCTGATTTTGATAGAAGGTATTTAAGTTACTGTTTTATTAGAATACAGCTTTTGTCTATGTCTTTCTTTGATTAATGATCGTTAAATATATTTTAGGGCAACCTAGGACAATTCGATAAAATGGAATATATATAACAGGTAGATTTAAATACACACACACACACACATATAAATTAATCTGAATGACCTTTTGAGATTATACGTTGAACTCAAGTGTTTGCATTTGTCCATCTTGGATTTTAGATATAATCTTAAGCAGATTCAAGCTCATTCTCAAGCTGAGTAGTGTTAATCAAGAGGCTGCTTGTTATGTACAGTTGCTGCTGTCTTAGCCTCTGGATGTCACTGTTGTTCCATAAAAGTAGAAGAAAGTCATGTCTTGATATGTAAGTCAAGGAAGGGACCCTTGAAATGAGTAAAGAAGACTTGACATGTATTAAAAGACTGAAATCGAGTCATTTATTTTTGCATTTCCTTTCCACTTTTGTCTAATTTTAATCTGATGTTTATTTCATATATATATATATATACACACACACACAACACATACTTTTCCCATGCCAAATTTAAAGTTTTATTATTTTCCTTGAGAATATTCTGTAATAAAAGGAAACATCATCTTTAATTTGCAGAAAATCTTTAGTTTCATTTTATAAATGAACTGATCTTTATTATCATTTTTGTTACTGACAAAGAGCTTTTTAATAAGATTCTAATGAAAATATATCTGAAAGCACTTTAATAAAATTATTTTTATTTTATTTTATTATAACCCTAATCATAGGCTAAGACCTACCTAACTGCAGTATGACATAGCAGAACTGTGATTTCAAGCCTCACAAAGCTGTGGAAAGAGGAATGAGACCTGGGCACATTAAAACACCACAGACCTTGCTGTCCTTACCAAGATTTATCTCTTTTCTCTGAATAAACGCTTCTTGGATTGTTTCAAGAATTTGGTTAATTACTGGGGTTCTGAAAAAGTCAAATTTGACAGTTTTTGCCGATGTTCTTTTTCCTATTGTGGAGAAGTGTATTTTTGGATGTCCTTACTCTGCTGTGCGGGAAGTGCTTCCCCCTCAAAATTGAATTTAACATTACAGATTTTAGGAAATACATAAAAGTATTTTTTAAATCATATTCTCTTTCCCTGGAGAGGAAGAATTATCAATCTAGGTGAAAAGTGCACCCAGAAAAGGTACTAGTAGGTTTGAGTTATTATAGATATCGGTGCCTTGTGGTAGTACACCACTGGGCATGCTCACTCTTCTCTGCCAACATGATGGCTTTAATGGAAGTTTGAGGATTTTTCAGGAAAAACAAACAGTATACATGAATCCTTATTACACCAACTGTTTGCATCTATATTTAAATATAATATCAACCTAAAAGTTTAAAAGATTTATTTCAAACCCAATATTAGATTTACTTAGACATTATAGCAAATTTAATAATGAGAATCCTGTTAAACTTCGGCTCTCAATTTTCTTTTGAATACTTGAACCAAACTGTTCTGGCATAAAAGAGCAATTTGTATAAAAATTTAGGGAAATGGGGGATCCCTGGGTGACTCAGCAGTTTAGCGCCTGCCTTTGGCCCAGGGCATGGTCCTGGAGTCCCGGGATCAAGTTCCACATCAGGCTCCCTGCATGGCGCCTGCTTCTCCCTCTACCTGTTTCTCTGCCTCTCTCTCTCTCTCTCTCTCTCTCTGTGTGTGTGTGTGTGTGTGTGTGTGTGTGTGTATGTGTGTGTGTCTTGAATAAATTTTAAAAATTAAAAAAAAATTAGGGAAATGGTTAAAATTTCACAAGCCTTGTGTTTTGCTCAAGTCCTGGCATTTTTGTGCAGTGGTTTCTGTGATCAGGGCAGTATACTAAGTTTACAAATTACTGTATTTTACAATGTATAAATGTATTAATTATCTAAATTCATGCCTTCATTGTCTTTTTCTTGCAGTCTCCTTAGTCTTTTACTATACCTCATGTGTTACTTAATAGACACTCAACTTTGCCTTCATTGTATTTGTACTACTTAAAGGATTTATTTATTCTTTGTTAATAGGAGGTACACTCAGCGAAATCTGCAAACTCGCAGACAAGTTTCATAGTGTAATTCCTGTGAGATCTGGCCATGAAGACCTGGAAGTCCTTGATCTTTCAGCACCATTCCTTATACAAGGGAAAATTCATCACTATGGGTATGCTTTCAAATCTGAGAATTTTGAGAATTAAAAACTGCATAGAAATAACTTTTATTACTTTATCCTACTGGTTGCTGTATATTCAATGGATACTCTTTGAATACCAATTTATAGGTACTAGATTTTTCTGGTATATATTTATTCTTTTGATAGCATATGTGTCAATTACCTACAATGTGCCAAGTATAAGGCTAACCGAGGGGCTAATATTCATTTGTTTTCTTTCACAAAGATTTAGATACTCGTGCAAAGAATGGTTTAGAGCTGTATCCTACTAGAAGTTAAGTGATTGAATTCCAAACTTTCTGTACCAGATTAGTTGCCACTGAGGAACTGGAAGATAATCAGGATATATTAGGAACTAGAAACAGGCATGCCTTTCAAGTAATTTGTAGTCTGTCTTGTACCTTTTTAACTTTATAGTTTCTTCTGTTTTACAAATTTAAAATATTATATTTATCAAAATGTTTGTGAAACCTTAAAGGTTTTACTTACTTAGGTTTCAGTTACTTTACTCATATTTCTAGACCTGATTCTTTTTAAAAAAGCAGAATTTAAAGTAATTGCTTCATGGTCATCTGGGTTGCTCAGTTGGCTAAGCATCTGCCGTTGGCTCAGGTCATGATCTTGAAGTCCAGGGATTGAGCCCCATGTCAAGCCCATCGTCTCCTCCTCTCGCTGCCCCTCAGCCTGCTCCTGCTCACTTTCATGTGCTCTCTCACTCTCAAATAAATAGAATCTTTAAAAAATAAATAAAAATATTTGTTAAAAACTAATGCTTCAGTTTCATTAACAGTAACACATCTTTTATGTTTTTTTATTTCTTGACTCTTTTACTAATGAAATTTTTTTAGGAAAGTTTTTGTCTCATGTAAATTTAAATTTGTTGACATAAAATTGTTCATAGTGCTTTTGATGATTTTTAAATCTCCACTTTGTTCCTGAATCCACTTAAATATTATTGCCACCTTTTTTTCTTGACCTTTTTTGCCAAAGCAAATAGCTTTTGTTTTGTTGGCACTCTCTATTGTTTTATTATTGTTCATATTTTTATTTTCTGCATTTACTTTTTTTAAGATTTCTTCAGTTTTTCTTTTTCAAGCATTTTTAATTGAATGCTTACCTCAGTTAACTCATTAATTTTTAGTATGTTTTTCAATATTTACATTTAGGCCCCTAATATTTCCCCTGAGAAAATGGCCATAGCTTTAACCCAGGATTTGATATGTAGTGAGTTTTTTTGTGTGTTTTTGTTGTATTTTGTCTCTTCTAAATGTTTCCTAATTCTCATTGTGATTTCTTCTTAGGCCCATTAATTATTTAGCTGTGTATTTTTAAATCTTCACACACACATTTTAGGTGCTGTGTTTTTTTGTATTTTAGTTGGATTACTTTTTAACCACATAGCTTGATACATTTCATAATGATTCTTTGAGCTTCACTTAGCTTTGCTGTATCCCAGGATGTTTTGTTCAGATTTTGTATATATTGCCTATATTTTAAAAAGAACATGTATTTTTTAGTAATTGTGTTTAGTATTTAATAGTGTTATGTCCACTAGACAAGCTTGTTAATCATATTCAAAACTTCTTTTTCCTTTGTAACTTTGTCTATTTAATCACTTCTGAGAGAGTGATTGCTTAATATCCTCAGTGGTTGTAGGTTTATGATCTTTTTTTTATCAGGATTTGTTTTGTAGATTTCAGGGCTCTTTGCTGGTTAGCTTTTAGTGTTTCTTTGTAATATTTTAGGAAGTCTCATAAATAATTAGGACTAGATTTTAGTTATTTTAAAATATGTTTAAATGAGTTTAAAATATGTTAATTACTGATATATTTAGGTTTTTTCTACATTTTATGTTGTTGTCTATTTAAACTATTACTCTTTCCCCTCCCCACCTTTTTTTTGTTGTTATTTAGCTTTTTTTTTTTCCCTCTAGTATTCTGTTAGATTTATTTATAAAAATGTTCTTGATTTTTCCCCTTTTTCCTCTTTTACTACTTTGGAAGTAATGAATTCTGTACTTAATTTTTATGTTACCCTTGTATTTTAATCTGTATATTTAATTTTTAATTTGCATACTTGCTTTATCAATGTCTAAAGTTATTATCACAGCCCGTTTTTTAGGAAATAATATGCCTTCATTCAATATTCCCTTTTTCTGTTGAAGAAATATCTGTGTATTTGAAGGGTGGGAGGAGATAATATTTAATATAAGTACCCTCTATCTTTCCCTAGATTACAAGTGAAAAGGAGTCTGCAAAAAAAAAAAAAAAAAGTCTGCATGAACCTTTTGGACATTGATTTTTACATTTTTATTCAAGGATATTTTCTTATCAACATCTCCTAATTTTATGATGATATATAATAAAAAAACAATTATTTGTACTTAAAGTATGTTTGTATATAAATAAAGCAAAATACCTGTACTAAATAATGTGCAGTTTTAGTAGATTATGTAGTTTCAGATTGATTTTACTATGAAAGATAAGTATTGTAGTAGGTGTTAGAAATTGTGAACCTCTAAATCTAAATATGTGCTCACTGAATATATTATCCAAAGTCTCACTGACTTCTTTAGTGAGAATGATTTTTTCCTATTGGTTATATTTACCTAAGACCGTAACTATTATCACAGAGCCATCAAATGAAGGAGTCCTTAGAGATTGTCTCTTTCACACTTTTTCATTTTACCAAATAAAGAAATCAGCCAAATTAACAATCTGGATCTGGACCCTCTCTCTTATTCTCAACCCAGTTCCTTATTCTGAACCATTCTTTCTTTTCAATTGCTTCTACTGTAAAAAGCTTATATTTTTATAATTCGGCTTATACTCTGTGCATTACAGTAGGGAAGGTACAACACTATTGTTTAATTTTTTAAACTGCTTGTTTGAACAACAAAAATAATGTATAATAAATGAGTTATAATAATTATTTTTAAAAGCCTGTGGTTTTTTTCTATCATTAATTTCAGATGTAAACAATGTTCTACTTTGAGACCAATTCAAAATCTAAATTCCCTGGTTGATAAAACACAATGGATTCCATCTTCTGTGGCTGAAGGTGAGCTAAATTTCTGTGTCGTGCAACTGTGACCTCACTGATTATATTTCAGTGTTTGTGGGTATAGTAAAACCAGAGCAAAGACTGAGCTATAGTTTAACTTTACTTAGGCAAAACCATTTTTATGGTGATTTTATAACCAGTTTTATCAGTGATTATAATAAAAGTATAAAGTAAAGTTTAAAATATTTGAAAACTTGCTTTCAAGCATCTACCAATATCTTTAACCATTATATTTTAATGTTCAATAATTTTTTTCAGTTTTAATTATTAATTACAGATACAGATTCTGAAAAATCTCTCCAGTTCACAGTATTTTAGGATTAAAAACAGTTTTAATGATGGCTATTACACAGCTCTTTACCCAATACACATTTTTTAGCTGGAACAAAAGCTTCTTATATCATATTCTTCAACTGTGATCATCCAGCTGCGGCGTAAAACTCTTTCAGTGACAGAGGACTCATTACATTGCAAAGCAACATTTGCCCTTAATTTTTTTTTATGCCCTTAATTTTTAAGCAAAACCTGCCTCTTTAAAATTTTAATATAAACCATGTTCTGTCAACTAGAATTAGAGTACATGTCTTCAATAAGATTAACCAGCTTTGTGCATTTAAAGATCCCCATCAAGCCTTCACCAAGTTTTTATTTCTCCAGCTAGGTACATACCCTCACTTCATTTGGTATTTTCTCACGTTCCTTACTATTTCATTTCTCCTCCTTAGTAAACATTTCACTTTACCACTGTTCTTCTCAAAGTTTGTCATTTAAAGCTGCAAGTAGGGCTGCAAATGTTGGCCAGTTGAGCATATAAAGAAAACCTTTATTTCTCTAAAATTGGACACTTTGTTTCTACTAGCCTGAAAATTTTATTGTGTAGATATTTATTTGTATACTTGGTTTTATTTTCTTTCTTTTGTAATCTAGCTATATGATATTTCTACCTCACATTTTGTTTGTGGTCCATGCAATTCCAGGTAACTTTCATGTGAGCTCCCTGCTTTACAGTGTAGTCTCCCTATCCCATTCTTAATGCAGTTCTTTGTTTAGGTAGGTCCCTCAGGGTGGATTTTATGGTCACCCTTCTTGGTTTTAGCTCAGTTTTAACCTATGGAGACCTTTAGAATCCTAAAAATCAGTTCTTCTATAGTAACAATTTTTGTCATGTCTGCATGCCGTAATTCATTTCTCTCTATCCTAATTTATTCTTAATTAATTACTCCTTTTAAATATGGATTCCACAAATGGAAGACAGTATTTCATTTTATAAATTTTAAATGTCTCCTATCTCCAAATACAAAGTACCATTTTAACCTATGAATTTTCATATCATTTAGTATCTCTTTTTAATTTCTTCTTCCTCATCTTACCAAATTATGGAATCTCATCTTCTGATATTTTTGTCCATTGAACCAGATGATATCTTAAAAAATAAGTGATCCCCATGTTTATAATACAGAGGGGAGAGACATGTTACAGAATCATAAGTATTAAACTGTATACTATTTTTTTAGAACATTCTGAATTTTAATTTTGTCTTTCATGAGGCAGACATACAGTGAATTGTAGTTCATGAATCAGTTTTTATGTTTTCTATCAAGTTAGCAACTCATTTTAATGATATATTATGCTAATATTTAATAAAAAAAAGAAGCAATTGCTTACGAGTCATTGTCCCTACATAGGTATAATGTAATGTTCTAAATTGGACCTGCTAAATGAATATAATATACTGTTATTAAAGAACGAAAGTCACATATATAACTTTTTACCTTAAATTATTTTAGTAAACAAAACATAACAGCATAAGACAATTTTTACTTCACTTTGGTTATAAGGAATAGAAGATTCACATAGTTTGATCTTTTTTTCCCTTCACTAGTACTGGGTATTGTACCCCTTCAACACGTGTTTGTAATGACATTTACTCTTGATGATGGAACAGGAGTATTGGAAGCTTATCTCATGGATTCTGTAAGTAACAGAGTTGGTATAGGTATTTATAACAAAAAAAATTTTTTTTAAATTCTAATGTATGTATTCATACCTACTTTATTACTGAGAGGATTTAAGGCAACTTAAAAAAAAATAAAATACAAGCACATAAATCTTGAAGTGTCTATATATTTATCCTGTCTTGCTTTGACTCTGTAAATTTAATATCCAAATCATGAAAAATTGAAGAATATGAATTTGAAGAAAGAGTCTTCAGAAGGTTTACTCCAGGAGCCAGAGGCAGAAGTATGACCACAACTTCTAGACATTATCTAGCACCATTTTACCAGGTTTTTGAAGTCTCCATATGTCCATATTAGAACTAAATTACTTCAGAAGGAGATGGTTATATTGTGTGAAGCTAGGGAGCTATCCACAAACCTCCCTCATTTTTAACAACAGTTCTAAGTTTGGGGGTTCCTAGGACCACCCTGAAGTTTTGATATGTGCTAGAAAGACCCCTGTACTTTCTGTAAGTTATTGTGCTATTATGGTTTATTATACCTAAAGGATACAAATTCAAATCAAGGGAAGAGGTGCATAGGACATAGTCCAAGAAGTTCCAACATGAAGCTTCTAGTGGTCCTCTTGCCATGGAGTAGTAGACAGTGTTACCAGCCTTATATGATGTGTAATGATACACATGGAGTTTTGCCAGCAGGGAAGCCTCACTGAGCCTTAGTGTCTAGAGTTTTTATTGGGACTCTGTCATTCATGGTTAATAGCCCATATGGCTGATCTCAGTTTTCAGCCCCTCAAAGATCAAGTAAATACCACATGCCCCAAACTCCCAACCTAAACCTCTAGTGTAACGAACGTGGACATTCCTAACAGGCATTTTCTAAGGCTGAGAGATTATTTCCAGAAGCCAACAGCAGAGGCCAGATTTCTGTTAGCAGTAAGGTTGAATATTTTTACTGCACACATTGGGAAACAGTCTGGGGTAACATTGAGAGAATTTTCCCTCCCACTTAAACAATTCATTTGTCCAGTTATTGAATGAATATTTAATGAGCACTTGCTATGTGCCAGGTACTGTCGTATGTGATGAGGTTATAGCAATGAACAAAACAAAGCAAACAAAATCTTTTTTTTAAGAAAGTATAATCTTATAATCTGATAGAGGAGGGAAAAATGAATACACCTCATCATGTGTTATACTCTTTTAAACTTAACACTAGATTTTTTTTCCTATACACAAAGAGAATGATAGACCCCACTCTTTCCTAAATACCATTATTCTTATCATTAAGTCAGTGCAGTTTAATTGGATTATACACATACACACACACATACACACACACACACACACATCTCTATGCTGTCTTTAGATTCCAGTAGTAAATCAGATTTTAAGAATTCAGACAAGAACTCTATGAATTCTACAATATTGGTAGAGTAAAATAGTCTAGATTATTTTAATTAGATAATATTGAAATACTTTTATTATAACTTTTTAAAAAATTAACTTCTGGGGTGTCTGGGTAGCAGAGTCGGTTAAACTTCTACCTTTGGCTCGGATCATGATCTCAGGGTCCTGGGATCAAGGCCTCGTCCAGCTCCCTGCTCAGCAGAGCCTGCCTCTCCCTCTCCCTCCACCCAACCCCAGTGCTCTCTCTATCTCAAATAAATAAAATCTTCAAAAAAATAAAAAAGATTAATTTCCTTTTTTCCTCTGTAAATTTTTTCAAGGACAAATTCTTCCAGATCCCAGCATCAGAAATCCTCATCAATGATGACCTTCAGCAGAGTATGGATACGATCATGGATATGTTTTGTCCTTCAGGAATAAAAATTGGTAGGCAATAATATTTTTAACATTCATTCTTTTTTTAAAACAGTACTTGACATGTATCTAATATGTAGATTTAGAGGCATGAAAAGGGGATGCCTGGGTGGCTCAGTGGTTGAGCGTCTGCCTTCGAGACAGGGTGTGTGATCCTGGAGTCCCGGGACCAAGTCCCATGTGGGGCTCCCTGCATGGAGCCTGCTGCTCCCTCAGCCTGTGTCTCTGCCTCTCTCTCTCTCTCTCCCCCTGTGTCTCTCATGAATAAATAAATAAAATATTTAAAAAGAAGAAAATAGAGGTATGAAAACTTGAAGTCTGGATCTAAATCTATTGTCTGGTTTACCTTTTGATGAAGACAGCAGGGAGAAAATAGGTAAGAATCAGAATTCATGAAATGAAAATATTTTTAAAATTTTTTGAAATATAATAAAAGGGAGGTAGTTTTGATCACAAGCACATTTGATACTGTGTTTATGCATACAAATATTTTTGTTGAGATTATACCAAGAGATGAAATTTTGACAAGAGACATTTTCTATAACACTTCATTTAGCCAGTTTAATTCATCTCATGAATTTCTGCTTAGTAGTAACTAGTTTTAGATCTTATACATTTTTATTTTATTAATTGTTTTCTGTCAGCTTTACTTGTTCTCTGGATAACATCTTAATGCATTAAACAGATCTTCAGATCAAAGCATGTTGATTACATTTACTGCCACTGACTTCCTTTTGTGGCTATCATTTCTGTTTATTTGAAATTTGCAGACCTTAGGGGTACCTGGGTGACTCAGTCAGTTAAGCATCTGCCTTCTGCTCAGGTCATGGTTTCAGGCTTCCTGCTGAGTTAGGGAATCTGCTTCTCCCTCTCTCACTGTCTCTCAAATAAATGAAAAAAATCTTAAAGAAAAGAAAGGAAAGGGAAGGGAAAGGGAAAGGGAAAGGGAAAGGGAAGGGAAGGAAGGAGAGAGAGAGAGAGAGAGAAAGAGAGAAAGAAAGAAAGAAAGAAAGAAAGAAAGAAAGAAAGAAAAGAAAGAAAGAAAGAAAAGAAAGAAAGAAAGAAAGAAAAGAAAGAGAAAGAAAGAAAGAAAGAAAAGAAAAAAGAAAAGAAAGAAATTTACAGACCTCCATCATAGAAAAACAGCTTGACTCCCCTAACAATTTCTCATTAATAACAAATTTCACCAGCTGCAGATTTAGCTGCTGTCACTTTAACTTATTAGGTTATTTTTTTTTAAAGATTTTATTTGTGTATTCACGATAGACACGGAGAGAAAGAGAGAGACAGAGACACAGGCCAGAGGGAGAAGCAGGCTCCATGCATAGAGCCCAACGTGGGACTCAATCCCGGGTCTCCAGAATCACACCCCGGGCTAAGGCGGCGCTAAACCGCTGGGCCACCGGGGGGGGGGGCTGCCCTGTTTAGGTTATTTTTAATCAGACTTTATTATCCCCTGGTCAGTGTGCATTTTATAACAATTCCAAAAAGATAGCTTTTATATAAATCTGTAGCTAGGTTTAACTTACATACTTTTATTTGATGTCAGCTTTAATTTTTGGTTTTAATTCTTTTAGATAAATTTCTGGAAATAAAACTTTCATATCAAAGAGCACGAGCTTGGTAGGCTTTTGATAAATGTTGCCAGGTTGCTTTTCAAGAATATTCTACCTATTTATAGTTCTACCAGAAGTATAAGGAGAGGAGAATGCCTGTCTTGCTTGACTCTTGCTAGTATTGACATATTAAGTGTCTTTCAAACTTGAATATGAAGAAGCATTAAGAAACTTTTCTAGAAGTTTTAAATAGATTTATTGTGGTCATGACCGAAGGTTGGAAATAGCACCTCAGGTGCCAACATTGTCTGAACTCAGAGCCTGGTACCTGATGGGAGTTTCAGCTAGACAAGTATAAGAGCCTCAGCAGCTGATGTGAATCTCGCAATCAGTTTCTTTGCAGTCAACCAAGAAAAAAAAAGGAAAAGCAAAAAAAAATCTGGGGAGGTCAGTAAGCCGCAGGAAGAAAAGTTCAGAATGAGATGACTGCTACCTTTGCTATCAAACATTTGGAAAACCCCACATTTAATTATTGTTTTCTGTTGGGAAAAAAAAATAAAATTAGTTAGGATTGTTACAAAACAGTAACAAGAACCCAGTATATATTGGAAGAGTAGATAATATTAAATTTAAAGTGTATTTATGTACTTTTCAAGCTAAATTAAATGTTAATTTTTCTAGCTAAGCATTATACTTAGATACATATTTCAGAGATACTTGTTTAACTTTAATGGTTAAATAACATTATTTTTCTCATTTGTAGATGCATATCCATGGTTGGAATGCTTCATCAAGTCGTATAATGTCACAAATGGAACGGAGCAGCAAATTTGCTATCAGATTTTTGACACCACAGTTGCAGAAGATATAATCTAATATTGTCATTTAGCTTAGCATATGTAAAATATTATAATTTTAGAAAACATAATTTTCTGTGAGATTGTTATCAAACACATAGTTTAACTGTATAGTTTATCTTTCCATTTTAACCATATTTAATTTTTTTTCCACAAATAGACATTGTGTTATCTTACTGCCTTCTTGTGAGTAAGTTAAAAATGTTTCTTTTGCTCAAAATTTCCAGTATGGTGGTTGCTAGGGGCATAAAGGAGAAAGGGGAATAAGTAGGACTGTCTTTGTTTACCCCTAGTAGCCCTTTCAGAGAAATTGTTCTGATACCCTACACTAAAAATCACTTTCCTTATTGGTTTTTCCATGCGTCAGCCAGTGATTTATCTGCCAGCCTCTATCTATACTTGACCTTCTTTTCCTGCCCTGATTTTTATATCAGCAGTGTTAATGATTTTAGCATGGATATGGGGTTAGAAAATGTCCTTAACATTAACTCATTCAGCTTTTACTGAGTGCGAGGCATGTAGCGGCTAGTGGTTTGATTTGGTTTTGTACAATGGATCTGCTTAAAGAAGTACTCTTTGCTGAGAAGTGCTCTTCTGACTGATGACAGCATGCTTACAGGACTGATTCACTTTAGTGTATGTGGCAGGATTGCTTTCTTTCAGTGCTGTAAACCAATTTAGGATAAATCTGTTTTTTTAAGACCTGAATTATGTACTTCTGACTGCTTGCATCTCTACATGGTATTAGAAGGTATTGCAGTCCACCTTGATGTAATAAAGCAGTCAGATTTTACAGTGTTAATGACTTACTTATATTATCCTTTTTAAAATTGTCTTGTGTAATATATATCTATATTTCAGATTGAACATGGAATGAGATATTTATATGGTAGTCTACTTTTTATATGACAGTGGTTGTGAAATTTAGAATCATGAATATTCAGTTTTATACAAATATACAAATATTTGTATGTATGTATAGACTTGCGTATATTATTTGGTAAATACTGAGACATACAGATCTACCTAGTTCAATATTAGTGAAGAATAAATTAATGCACATATTACACCTGTTTTCTTTATTTGCTCTGTGTTGAGTTGAAGCATGATTGGAGGCAAAGAATCACACAGGAGTGTCCATATCGAAGATATTTAAGACTGTCTATATACTAGGTACTGTGCAAAGCATTTAACTGTCTTTGAGTTTCACAACAATCATTTTCCTGATAAAACTGAGGCTTGATTGATGAGCTGACTTCACTAAGTTCACACGGTTATTAAATGCTAGTCAGTACTCAAATTCAGGTAATCTGTGTTCAGAGGCTGCACTATTAACCACTCCAGGATTCTGGGGCAAAAGCTAGCATGGGATTTTCTACAAATGAGACCTTCCTTAAATATTTGAAGTAACATTGGAAATAAATTATGAGAGGAGTCCATGTTATGTTTTCTTAGACTATCAAAAGGCTTTTAACATTTTATTGGCCAAAAAAGGGTCAAACATCTGATTTCCTCTGCTCATAGTAACTCCAAATTCTAGTTTCTGAGTATATTAGCCTATCCCCAGACCTAATTACCCGTCTCTCATCACTGAATTATCAGCTTGTTGGAGATGGTAGAAAAAGAGGCTGATGCTGCTGGTTTGGGGATATAAACTTTGGTTCAAAACATCTTCAGAGAAAAGTTTTAGGAACTGTATAAAAGAACAGATCGATTTCAGTATCAGTGGTATGCGGGGATCTGAAGGCGAGAGAACCATTTCCTCTTCAGGAAACACCCAGTCTAGAAGAGGAGGGGTCAGAAGGTACAGCAGGTCACAGTGCCGTCTCCTTTCTTTTCTTTTCTTTTTTTTTTAATAAACTCCCCCACATTGTCATCATTTGTTTGTTTTTTAACCTTTCAGCTTGGAACAAGAACTGGTCTGTCAACACCTAGTGTTTATACAGTGATGATGTATGCACCTTACCTGAAGCAGGAACGCAGAATGCTAGGAGAATTCTATTTCTGGAGCAAGTAGATGGTAGTTCACTGTGCTCTGATTTGAGCCATGTCCTCTTTCTTGTTCATGTGAATACCAGTAGTCTTCGTGTCAGATTTAAAATTACATAAATTTAAGAATGTAGTTTGTGCACAACTTCTTGCTCAATTTCCAGTCTCTGAAGCATCCATTAGCTACTACTGGATTGTCTCTTGTCACCCCTGCACTGTTCTGTATGAGGAAGAGAGGGCGTAGCTTAGAAAATCTGAGGTAGTCAATTACACAATAATGAAAAATTCACTGCTCACATGCTTTTTTTTTCAATTTATTTTTTATTGATGTTCAATTTGCCAACATATAGAATAACACCCAGTGGTCATCCCATCAAGTGACCCCCTCAGTGCCCATCACCCAGTCACCCCCACCCCCTGCCCACCTCCCTTTCTACCACCCCTAGTTCGTTTCCCAGAGTTAGTCTCTCGTGTTCTGTCTCCCTTTCTGATATTTCCCACTCATTTTTTCTCCTTTCCTGTTTATTCCCTTTCACTATTTTGTATATTCCCCAAATGAATGAGACCATATAATGTTTGTCCTTCTCCGATTGACTTATTTCACTCAGCATAATACCCTCCAGTTCCATCCACGTCGAAGCAAATGGTGGGTATTTGTCGTTTCTAATGGCTAATATTCCATTGTATACATAGACCACATCTTTATCCATTCATCTTTCAATGGACACCGAGGCTCTTTCTGTCCCTACCTTCCATTACACTGCTTTATTTAAGGGAACTACACAGGCCAAGATGAGATGCATCATTCCTTCTTCCCCCCACCCCCTTTTTTTTTTTATCCCTGGTCATGTTGCATGTTGGGAATTGTTTCTGAATGAATATAGAAAGACTGGTGTTAATGGAATAGAAGCTGAATACACTTCTGTCTACCTAAGAAAGCAATCTCCACACAATAGGGTACTGGCTGCACAATTTTTGAGTCCGTGTAGCTCCCATGTTGTAGCTACTTGCAGGTCCCAGAGATAGGCCAGAATCTAACCAGCTGTGCTTTTGTGTTTCCAAAGTCAGGCATGAGTTTGTCATGACTTGTGACTCTCAAGCCAGATGATTCTCTTCTACACTTTCTGGAACCTTTCCTTGGTATCTGGGAAAATAGCTAGATTCTTCTGATTATTATCAGTGTTTTGAATTTTGGTCATGTATTTCACTAAGTTTTGTTTGTATCCAGAATTTCTTGAAATAAAAGTAATTGTATTGGTATGATTTGAAACAATATAAAGCATATGAAGTTGAACATTAATTCTTACTCTAACTAGTACCCCAGAGGGCGTTTGGTATATAATTTTGCAGACTATTTTCCCTATGAATGGGTAAATATACATATATATGGTTTTAAAAATAGCATCATGCTATAAATATATTTCCACAATTTGCTTTTGCCACTTTATAAAGTAGACTTTGTATTTTATATAAATACACAGAGAAGGACAAACTTATTTGTAATTATTCAGCATAAGTAGGAATTCTCTGATTCTTTCATTTCTATTTTTATCATGTTTTTTGGCCTATTTAAGTGTTCTATTTCTTATTGAAACAATTTTGGAATTTTATGTTTTTATAGGAATGCATTCAGATTACTTGTTTTGTTTATTTTATTGCCTTATCATTATTCATAATAATATTATTATTACTTTAGTCTGTCTTTTGTCTGGTGTTATTTTCCCTATAAGTAAATCTGAAGCTCCTGGGACCTGGTTTCATTATATCTACTGGAGGTTCTTAGATGATCAGAATTTTGAAGACCTATCCAACTCTTGGTACAGATTATGACTCTACCATGACACAATCGTCTTGAAATGTTCTTTCATGCTTCAAAGGACTCATTGTGAGAGAAATGAGTTTATGTTAATATAAGAAAGGAGAATGAGTCCTGTAATGCTTTTCATTACATCATAGAACCCGCCATGATGAGTCACCCTAAAGTTGTAAAACATCATTTGAGTGGAAATAAAGATATCTCTTCCTGTGCTTGCCCTGCAAGATCACTGGATGGCATCACAGCTTCCTACCCACTCCAGGAAAAAGAGCTAGTAGTAGTCTGTGAAAGTAAATCCGGGCTTAGTGATCTTTCTTCTCTTCCCTCTGGTACTTGGAAATGTTATCAGAACTCACTAAACAGGAAGTCATCACCAGTGTGCTCAGGTATGTGAGATCACATCTTCATTTGGCAGCCGGGAAATGAATCAGTAGCACCATGTATTATTTTTCTCTGCAGTATTGTGATTTAAGCTGTTAAGAAATTTGAGATCACTTAGGGTTTCAAAGTGATGGTCATCTTAGATGGAGATAAATGTCCTTCCATTCAGGACTGCATTTGATGGGTTGAGAAGTGTTAGGTATCAATTACAGTGATAAGGATAATGCATTAATGTATATGGGAGCTCTCCCTCAGATGTGCCAGCTGGTGAAACATGGATAGTTCAGGGACTCTTCTGCTATTTCTAGACTGTAGCAGCATCTTAATGAATGTCTATCTTTTTCCCCTTGAAGTCTAGGTCGTAAAGGCACATTGGCGTAGCGTTCGTGTGTATATGTGTATGTGAGTGCAAGTGCTTGCTTTTATTCTCTTTGAGTTCACTTTGCAGGTTATTATATTAGAATTTATCTGACAACCTAGTCCACAACTACCAAAGAGAGACCTTTTCAGCTTCTCTTTTATTTCATTTGTTCTCTTTTATTCTGAAGATTTGGAGCATGTGTTCATTGAAAAACCTTTATCATCTATCGATATATTCCATCAAATATTGTACAGTTTCTAAACAAGAGTTTTTATATACAAGCCTGAATCTCTGGTATATACTTTCTTTTTCTTTTCTCCTATATCTTCAGAATGATTTTTCCCTTCTTTGAAATATGAACTCGCAGATAAAAGCCAGTTTGTTTTTACATATGACTCTATCCCTCTGCAGATTTTTGTCCTGCATTTGAGGGCACAGTCCTAGAATTTAAAATTTTGTACCAAGTTAGCTGTCTTTAAATGACTTTCTGTCTCAAGCTTCCAGAACAGGAAGTAGGAAAGACAACATATTTTAAAATGAAAAGCATTAAAAAAAAAAAAGAAAGAAAGAAAGAAAAGTATTAACTTGTGAGTCACATGAAAGCATAGCTTGCAGTGGATAGGCATGGTTGTGATTTTATTTGGCTGGATAGGAAATCCTGTATGTTTATTCCCATTAGATTAGGTTAGGAGTAATAAATTTGCACTTAAATTTTGGAATCATTGACAAATATTTCTACACAATGATCAAAGCTTGAATGGAAGTTAGGAATAAGTACACAGTGCAAAATACGTATTTAAAAGTCATATAAATATCACTGAGAAAATCTTACCTTTTCCTATTCTAATTACTGATAATGAAATAATTGTCTTATTTTCAATGTTTCTTGTCAGGAAGAATTTGTGTTTTAATGAATCACGGTTATTTAGAGGATAATATACTCTTTTGCCTTCAGTGCTCCATGGAAGATGTTGCCTAAGTCGTAAAACAAACTTCACACTGGTGCCCAGGTAGGAATTTGCTGAGAGAGTATTTTACCTATGCCAAATTTATTAATCTCTGAATGCCCAAACATTAGATCTAGTCATCCTTGATCCCTCTTATACAGGGCCTATATCCAATCCATTTGAAAAATCATCATGGTGCACTCATTAAAATATATCCAGAATTTGACTACTTCTTAATACTTCTTCTACCACCATGCTGGCCATACTACCATCTTTTCTTGCCTTAACTACAGCCATAGCTCCCCAATTGGTCTTCCTGCTCCTACAAAGTTTCCTCACACAGTATATCCTCTATACTATAGCTAGGCTGATCTGTTAAAACATAAAGCAGATAATATAATTTTTCAGTGTTTTCCAATGTCACATGGAATTGAAATTATATGGCCTTCAGCACTCCATGTGATCTACTTCCTTACTACTTCTCCGTCATCTTATACTATTACTTTTCTCCTTTCTTACTCTTGTCCAAACACTGGTCTCCTTGTTTTTGCAATATACCAGGCAAACTCTCCCTTCACAGACTTTTCTGTTGTTACCTTAGATCTGAACATTGTTGAGCTGTTGCAGGGTTGATGGTTCACTCTCTCACATCCTTTGTACCAATGTGACCTTATCAGAAAACCTACCCCTGACTTACTTTTCTCCATTACACCTACCCGTGTGATACATATTTATTTGCTCATACTTTTTCCCTTCCCCAGCAGCATATAAACTCCTTGGGAAAGGAGTTGGATTTATTCTTTGCTATTACCCAGTGCCTATTTCTAGAATGAATAAAATGATCATCTCGTATTAGCCCAGAATCAAAATCTGAGAATTCTAGAATGTAATTAGCATGTAAAGTGATTTTAGAGCAGTGGTTACCATAGACCCAGAAATTTGCATTTAAAAATAAAACCAAGGTAATTTTGTTGCAGACTGAAAAAAGATTTTATGGGGCTGAGGTTTAATAATTTGCATTTTTAACAATCTCCTCAGGTGGTTCTTTGGCAGGTAAAAGATTTAGTACCATTATTCTGGAAGAGTATGAATTCTGTATCTGCATGCTTCAAACATTATATTAACCTGCCTGATCCTGAAAGCATTTGAGTTGAAGTGCCTTGATGTAGCATCTGGATCAGCCAGTGGTTCCTTAACCTTGGCTTCATATTCTAATCATCTAGAGAAGGAACTTTCAAAGTAGTAGATCCTGGTATGTCACCCTCAGCTCTTGCTTGAGACTGTGCAGATTCAATCTCTGGCTACACTCTTAATAGCTTTTTGACCTTAGGCAAGTTGGTTATCCTCTCTGGGAAACTGTGAATAATCATAGTGCCTACCTCAGAAAACCATAGAGGGTCCAAGGTAGATGAAATGAAATTATATGTGTAAAACACTTAGAATCTGGCACACAGGAGACACTCATAAAGGCTTAGATAGGATTACTAAGTTTTGGTGAGAAAAACAAATCATCTTTACTGCTACTCTCTTATAAAGAAGATTTGGGATTTATTTTATTCTATTTTGCTGATTTCTTAATGTCCAAGCAAACCTAGCCGCTGCAGTGACAAGGGAAATGGCTACGTACATGAGTCATTTCAGGCCCAATCTAGTGAAGCTGCTACAAAAATGGGAATGGAATGGAGTGAATAACATTGGACCAATTGACCAAAGCATCCTCTCTTGAGGTGGTCATTTTGGATAGTTTTTTTTTTTTTCAAATGCCATTTTCTCAATATCTCATTCTTACTGTGGAAAGGAAGAGAAATAAAAAAAAACTCAAGATAAACATTCATCATTGTGTGCCAGTACTTAACTTTAAAGTAGAGGATAGCTTGACTGAGTAACAAGTGGAAGAATCTGAAAATAGCACAGTGTGCAAGCACTAAAAAAGAATGAAAATATTTTTGTTCTGATTAAAAAACAACTCAAACAATGGTAAAAAAGGAAGAAAATGTCACGTGTAAATTTTATGTCGTGGAAATTCTTTGGCAGTATCGTCAGTTTATAAAAATCTCTTCATTTTTATTTGAGTCGTTTAAAACTAAAATACAAATAAAGCTATGGATTTCCCAGTGCATTTATTATTCAAATGCAATTATATTTAATGTAACTTACTAGCCATCACTTGTTTTTCAGAAAGTTTTTTCAGGGAAGTTTTTTCTTAACATTTGGTAGAATCTAATTTTAGAATAGGCTTATATGACTCCGTGTACCTGTCTCTTCTTATAATAGAGATTTAAACAAAGAATAATGATGTAATACACTACTAGTGTTGAGTCCCTATGGTTTTAGTTAAATCTAAATGCAAATCAAGATGCATTTTTTATGCCAGGATATTTGGTGAGTACTTTAATGCTTATTTTATGGTTCTACAGACCATAACTGACACCTATTTGAAAGCACTGAATTTCCAATATTTGAATGTGCAAAATTACTTTCTACTCTAAGGTCACAGAAAGGGCATGTCACATATATCATAATTTATCTGCCTCAGAAAATAAGATTTGGTTCTTATAAGGATACACGGTAGGTACTTCAAATTTACTGAAACCTGGCTTCCGTGTATTCCTCAGGCTTTATGATACATTTGGTTATCCTAAGACTGTGATAAGACAAATCTTTCAACAGGACCATGCCTGCAGGATCATGGCAGAGGACGTTAAACTACATGGTACAATCCAGTTATTTCTTTTATAAAGGGAAGCCAATTCTGCAAACATTTGTAACCTGATTTGTACCTCTTGGTCTGATTAATATAACTAGTACTAATTAAATCCATATAATCCTAAGCAAAAGCAAGGAGTCAGCTCAGATTTCTCATGGGTAATTGTCCAATTTTTAAAGCTTTTTGAAATGTTGAACATAATTTAAAAACCTCACGTTCTACCTGTTGCTTTTCTAAAGTCCTCCAATAGTTCAGAAATTCAGATTGTAAACCAGTCAATCATGATTTGTAAAATTATTTATTTATTTTTCCAAAATGAGAATATCTCTTTACATCCGAAAGATCTTTCTTGGAGAACTTTAAATTGTTCACAGTCATTTCAGTTTTAAGAAAGAAGACCATCAATTACTTAGCTCCTTCTTCATCTGAATG